GAGGCTCCACATAGAAGATTAAAGTTTTCCAGATACATACGGCCTCCATCCAAATGGATGGAATAAGTCCAGACAAACCCTTTGCAGGGGAGTTCAATGCCTTTGCAAATCACAGAGAATCCCTATGGATAAGATTCATTTCGGTGGTGAAATACAAACCTCAGAGTCAAATTCATAGTGCTGGTAGTGGTCGTTCCATGTTTTCTCTGAACAGCATGTTTCTAGGCTTCTGGAATACTTTGGTCTTGGACTTGCCCTTCCTTTTCTCTCTCACAATCAGAATGCCCTTCCTTCCAGGCAGGAGCCCCTATTTTCTTGGTTTGTTCCTATTTTGTGAAAAACATCTTGCAGATGCCTCTGGGATGGAATGCATTTGGGTAGACTTGAGAGGATTTTGCTTTTTGCATTTGTTTTTCATTCTGCCCTGATCTTTGAGTGAAACTGAATTGTGACATGGACTTTCAGATTGAAGGTTGTGCTCATTTCACACTGGAGAGTGTTGCTCTGCTCCCTTATACTTTCCAAAGCTGATGCCCTATTTTTGGGAGATGACCTTGTTAATTACTCTCAAAGTCTGAGGACCAGATTATTGTCCTATGTGTTCTGAAATATCACAGCGATGAGCCTGATGTACGTCTCTTTTAATCATCTTGACCTCTTTCAACCCAGAGACCTGGATTGTTTTTCCAAACTAGGAATTTTCATGTATTATTATTTGATAATTTTTTCCCTTATTCACACTTTATCTTTTTTCAGCTCCTGGAAGTTTGGTGTTGAGTTTCCTATTCTCTCCTAGTTCTTGCAGCTTTGCTTTCTTTCATAATGGATGCCTTTTCAAATACCTAGAGATTCATTATTCTCCACTAATATATAATACTAAGCAATTAAAAAGGGAGCTGTTTTTATATGGGTGGTATGTTTTCTGGAGGGCAGTCTAGAATATCGAATGTGCAGGTGCATCTTTGACAATATTGACTCTTAAATGTCTTTATTTGCTGCTTAGAAAAAGAAAACCATACTTTCACCAGGTTTTCAGAGGGAGCTAGAGTACACCGAAGCACACAGAGGAAGGAAACTGATTATATGATTCACTACTCAGTACTACATTTGCCATCCTGATTTCAGTTTAGGCCCCATTTCCCCATCCTCTCTCTGTTTTCCATCATCCACAACTTCAGACAATAAACCAACAGCCTCCACCAAGAACAGGAAGAACAGGAGTGATTGCATCCTGAGTGCATAGGGTGAAAAGTGAAGCTAGGAGGCGGAGCTTGTTACTCCATTCAAATTGCAAAGGCTCCTGTTTTGTTCCTAGCCCAACACACACACACACACACACACACACACACACACACACACACACACCCACACCCCCACACACACACACACACACACACACACTTGCACAATTCCTTCTGCAGAGTACGGTACTTTTGTGGAGTTGTTCAGTAGACTATTGTTTTTTTCTCAGCCTTCATCCTACCAGCCAACAGCAGGGAATAATCTTGTTCTGCAACAGACTTGGCCATGTTTTCATTCACTCTCTAAGTTCTCAAACTGCAGCTGAGGTTATAGGCGGCTCCTAGTTCATATGCAGTGAAACTTTTGGTGCTCCCTGCTCTTGGGAATAATTTTATGATTTTGCTGCACATATCCCTTTAGTGATAAAGTGGTTAGACGTTCAGAAAAAAACATTCTTAGCAAAACTCATATTGTTGGCACCTGGATTAGGGATGGCACAGAAAAATGAGCAGCCTGATGAGTCTTTGAATGCTTTCCAGAGATCTGCCACTTTTCCCAGATACTGATAATAAAAGGCCTTTCTACTCAGACACAGAAACCTATTCACAATGCCTTCCAGAGGCTGTAATAATTCCTTCATATTCATATTACATTTTATATTTACATATATATGATGTGTATTTATATATAAGATGTAATATGAATATTACCAAGCATGTATATCATAATTGTGTTTAATCCACAATCATTAAGATTCATTGAGTTATCCTTTCATTCATATTATTTAATTAGCACCTAAACATGTAATGTAAACAAAGTGTAACACATACTGCAAGGTCTAATTTTGACATCTCCTTCACTTCTTGGCTGATATCCAACATGCTTTTACAAGATTGCTATTGAGACTGGCTATGACTAAGATATACATATTTGTTTACATTGCTTTAGTTCTCAGGAGCACTGAAAGGTTATGGTTAAAGGATGATATTTAAGTATCAACACTAATGCTAAATGTAAATGTACTGATCAATATAAATATTCAAATTCAGAAATATTGTAACTTACTCAAAAATAAAAGTAAGCAACACATTACAAGAGTAACACGATTTTAAATTATACATGAATAGGTGGTTGTTTAAAACTCCCCTTACCTCTCGTTTGTAGCCCCTTCCCACATGACTCGCTGGTGCCTGTTATCCCCTGCTTGACGGACTCTGGAACTAAGATACAAGGGCTCCATTTCTGTGGTTTCCACCTGTTAGCGCAAAGAACAACAGAATAGAACTTTCATTATGATAAATATGTAGGAAAAATATTTGGAGTACATGAATTAGAAATCCAAAAATACAAAGGGTTCAAAAGCTGGATTTGAAAACAAGCACCAGGAATGCAAAGAGTTGATGTCATCTTTCACCCAGGTAGACAGCTCAGCTCATATAGAAAAGTACCAATGAAAAGTTTTGGACTCACAGCTCAACCTGGCTGTTTGTAAACTTACAATCTTTTTTTTTTAACGTAAAGAGGAAAAGAGAAAAATCCTTGTGCCCTATTAGAACACTGGTGTTTCATAGTTTGGACATCTGGATGCCTGGGATGCAAACTTTCATACATGCTCTTGTGCTTCAATTTCTTTTTAATTGGTTATTCTAGGATTCAGAAGTAACTCAGACATTTCTGTTAGTTATATAACAAAATTTAAAATGTGGCCCTAGGGACTCACATTATCTGAAAGTTCATTTTAGGGAAGAGGAATGGATGTAATCTGATGAAATGCCAAGATTTTCATTCCTCCCAGGAAATGGTCTCTGAGGAAGTCACCTGACTTCTCGCTGGTTACCCTTCCTTAGGTTAATAAAAGTCTCTATTTTTAGGACACACAGAGTATGGCTTGTGTTCTTGGACTTATCTCTGCACAGTATTCCAGAAAACTCAGTCTAACCACAGATTCTATCCCTGCATTTGTCCTGCTTTTACGCTTTGTTACATATGAACCAAGGACTCTGCTAGACATGAGCCTCTTTACCCATTGTACCACTGGCCCTCATGATCCACTTAAGAAAATGGAACAGGAAGGAAGACTATCAATGATCTCCTTCAAGTGGCTTCCTTAATGGGAATGGCTGAAGTATTTGTGGGAAAATCAGGAAACTGCTAAACAGAAGCCTGTCACAAACTATGAAATCACATATTAACTTCACCTAGTAATAAATTTACTTTGTACATGTATAAGCACAATAGCTAAGCTGTTGAAGGATTCAGACCAGCTTTTCAAGCACTGTGTGTTATTCATGTTCATTAAGCTAACTTTACATAGGCATCCTAAACCAACATGAAACCAGATATTGGATCTAGTTTCGCTTGGTGCATAGACTGAAAGGGATGGAAGGAGTCATCAGTTCTCCTTTGATAAACTCTCAGGTTTGAGATGATAAACCTGAGTTCAGACAGATTAAGAGACAGTCTGAGACTGGACCATTCCCCGGTCCTTGGATACTTGATGACTGTCTCTGGGGTATATCCTATTGCCAATACCATACAGAGATAAAGGTCCTCATGCTGTTTTCCTCTTTACTTTCTAATTTAATGTGCTGGAAGATCCTCAAATTTGCAGGACAATTTAAATGGGCATTTCAATTTTGTTTTAATTTGGTAAATGTGGCTATATGACCTTAATGGAGTTAAAGGATGAATCAGAAGATAAAGAATGATAAAGGCCCACTTTAACTTGTTTCTTATGGTAACTTCGTCCTTAAAACCAGTGTAGGATAAACAAAATGTAATTGTAATCACAGTGCTCAGAATTAAAAGATCTTTTACAAGGAGCAGAAAATTATGCTAACTTGGATAGTTTGAAGCACACATTAGATAGGATCTGGACACAGCAGAACTGAGAAAGTGGAAGGAGATGAATAGTGGGAACCAGCTTTAGCACTGGGGTGAACTTGAAGTGCTACGAGATAGCGAGGAGAAACAGTGGGAGAGTCTACCAATGGTTTCTGAGATTTCATCTAATTACAGTAGCACTGGGTTTATAAAAATGCCTAACATCTGATTTGGATACTTTTTCTTTGGCTTCTTTCCTTGAGCATTTTTTTTGTTGGATGCAGAGGTTTCAATATTTACCCATGGCACAAGAGGATGGTTAGAGACAATGTTTCCACCATGGTCATGTGGTTAGGAAAAACACTGTCTGGGCCTGACCCCAGTGTCTAACCAGGTCTTCCCCGAACTGCCATCAGATTGGAACAACAGGCTGGAGCATCAATAGGACTGAACTTTCTCAATGGCACTCAGCCTGAATCTAAAGTGAGCTTTCTTTGAAAAAGAAGCAAATTTACAATATTCCTGAGTAAATGAGCCCTAAAGCCTCACAGCTTTATGGTACAGTTTCTCAAATAATTAGGATAAGCACTAGGTATTTTGGAAAAAGAATGTTTTAGTGAGTTAGTAAAACTATATGATTTTAAAACCATGAGCTTTTGTTATGAGTCAATAAATCACAAAGTGATTAAATTTAATCTAACCGCATGTTAAAAACAATGCTTCAATCAAATTTTAAGCTTTCAAATTTTAAAAGACTAGAAGGCTATGACTTGACATAGAAATTCAGATACTGTTTTTATAAATGATAGTTACAAATTTGCTGAAATGGAGGACAGAAGGAACACATAAAGTTTAAAAGTTATTCATTTTTTCTTTTTTTAAAAGAAGGGGGTTTGGAGCATGGGTGTGATCAAGATACAATGCATACATTCATGAAAATTTCAAAGAAATGAATGAAAATGCTATTAAAAACATTTTATCCAGTTGGTAGTTTCTGAAAATATGCATGAGTTTTTTTTTTTTTTTGAGATAGAATCTTGCTATGCAGCCCAGGTTGGACTTAAACTCAGGATCTTCTTCCCTTGGTCTTCCAAGTGCTAGGATTACAGATGCATGCCTGCATGCCATCCCACCCAGCTTGTTCTTAATTGTTTATTGAAAGCTTTAAGATAGGAACAGAGTGAATATGTTACCTTGTAGTGTGTGTGCATGTGTGTGTGCCTGTGTGTATACATGTATATGTGCATGCTTATGTATATTATGTGTGTATGTTTTTGTTTAATTCAGATGTCTCTCTGTTAAGTCTCTGGCCTGTTGACCTATCTAATGGAGATAGTGGGGTATTGAAGTCCCCTACTATTAATGAGTTGGGGTTAATTTGGGTCTTAAAGTCCTGTAGTATTTTTTTTATGAATTTGGGTGCACCGGAGTTTGGTGAATATATGTTCATGATTGTAATATCTTCTTG